CGCTGCTTTTACTCTGGGCATCTCACATCTGCTCCATTCGCAAGACCACTTTTAAACCAGTTTGCGATCCATTCACGAAGTGGAGACAGTTTGAATCCCCTGTCCCACTCCATCTGGGTTTCAGGATCCCTCACCTTTCAATCCAAAGCTTTTGGCCAGCCCCTGTGTGTGTGCACTCTCACAGTGTGTGTGAAATGCACATGTTGTCTGCTTTGGGTGGGTGGGCAGTGCATGTTGCCTGCATAATGGGCAGCAGTGCACACATCACCTGTGTAAGAGATGGGACCGTGTATGTTGACTGTGTAAGAGAGGGGACTGCAAATGTCGTCTGTGTAAAGGGGGTCTGTACCTGTCACCTGGGTAAAGAGTGGAATCAGACCTCATTTGCATAAAGGGCAGGACTGCAATCATTGATTGTGTAAAGGGTGGGACTACGCTCCTTGCCTACATAAAGGGCAGGACTGTCTACATTGACTGCATAAGGGGCAGGACTTTGCATGCGTCTACGTAGAAGTTGGGACTGCACACACTGCCTCTGTAAAAGGCAGAACGATGTATTCATGTGCGTAAAGGGTGGGATTGTACGCACATCGGTGTAAAGGATGAGACTGTGCACCTCGCCTTCAAAATGGCTGGGATTGTGTACAAAAACAAAGTTGCTGGAAAAGCTCAGCAGGTCTGGCAGTGACCCTTCTTCAGAACTGATGGTGACGAGGAAAGTGTCAGCTTATATGCAGAAGATAGGGCTGGGGGAGGGGGTAAGGAATAAACGATAGCTGGCCAACATCTCTTTCTCAGGCTTGCTGCAGTGTTCCAGCGAACCTCAGCGTAAGCTGGAAGTACAACACCTTGTTTTCCACGTGGGGACCCTGCAGCCCTCCAAACTCAATATCAAGTTCAATAAATTTAAGGCTTGAACTATCCCATGTCCTAACCCCCTACTTCACACACCAGACCTTATTATCACATAGCCTGCTAATAGAGACTACCTGCTGTTAGCCACTAACAGTCTCCATTAACAGCTATTCACCCTGAGATAACAAGGTGTATGATGAACACAGCAGGCCAAGCAGCATCAGAGGAGCAGGAAAGCTGACGTTTCTGGCCTAGACCCTTCTTCAGCTATTCATCCTCCCAGACTGATCGTTATCCACTCCTTTGTCTGTCCAACTGTTCTCTTCTCTCTCTTTGGGCTGTATCCCCACGCATCGTTTACACCTCATCCCCTCCCCCCAACCTATCTTCTGCATTTAAACCAACGTTTTCCCAACTGCCATCAGTTCTGAGGAAGAGTCACCAGACCCAAAATGTTAACTCTGATTTTTCTTCACAGATGCTGCCAGACCTGCTGAGCTTTTCCAGCAACTTCTGTTTTTGTTCCAGATTTACAGCATCTGTAGTTCTTTCGGTTTTTATTTAGTATTTAACTCACTGCCACATCTCTTCCAGGCTTGCCCACCTTGAAGAAGTTCTGCTCCTCTTGCCAATGGGATTTCCATTCCAATCTTTCTTCTTGCCCATCGACATTAATTTCACTGTCACTCCTGGTGTTTGACCAGGTATTTGCTAAAACTCATTTCCACAGCCATATCACATTCCTCAGTGACTGCCTGTGGCTCAGACTCACCCACGTGAATTCCAACTGAAGTTTTATCCCACATGTTTTGAATCCTCCCAGGATCACGGATATCTCCGTGATGTTCAACGTTCCATGGACAGCTGCTCTCGCCGCATCCTGAGATCCACACTCAGTGCCGTGCAGTGTCACTACATGCTCTCGAACTCTCTCTCCAACAGCATCGCAAAACGCTGCACCTCTCCGCAGTTCCACTTTGTCCTCCAATTCTTTCACTGGGCTAACCAGAAACTTTACCTTTCAGGCATCAAGGCCCACTAGATGCAACAACTCAGAGATTCCCATCGCCCTCCAGAACCTTCCTGCCCTCCCCTTCCCTCTGAATCAATCTCCTCCCCCAACCTTCTGTCGGACATTTACCATCCCTCCCAACCTTCCTCTCTCCAATGCTGAACGTTCTGTACTCAGCAAAGGCCTCAGCTTTATCCCTCTGTGTCCGCACCTTAACGAATTTTGGGCACAACATGACATCAAACTCTTCTTCTGCCGACTTCACCCCATGCCCATTTCTTTGGACAAGTGTCCTCCCACTGTCCTACAGACCCCTTTGCCCATTTCCAACACTCTCCGTCCACCTGGACCCCTCTCCTCTGGCCTTTTACTTGCACTTGGATCTGTTCATTGAGAACTGTCGATATGAAATTGGTCGCCTCAATTTCTCTGCGCACCCCCCCCACCTCACCCAAGCCAACCTATCTTCCCCGAACTGACTGCACTGTGTGAGCTTAGATCTAACCCTAACTTTGTTATTAAGCCTGTCGATAAGGGTGGTGCTGTTGTAGTCTGGTGTACTGACCTCTACTTTGCAGAGGCTGAGTGCCAACTCTCAGATACCTCCTTCTATCTTCCTCTGGACCATGACCCCACCATGGCAAATCAGGCCTTGAATGAACTGCAGTAACTGACCTCATTTCATCTGCCAATACAGACTACCTATTGTTAGTCACTAACAGTCTCCATTAACAGCTATTCACCCTCCCCACTGCCTCCAAGCTGATAGTCCCCCAGCTTGCTTCTACCTCCTTCTGAAAATCCACAAACAGGACTGCCTGGTCAGACCCATTGTTTCAGCCTGCTCATGCCCCACAGACCTCATCTCTTCCTACCTTGACTCAGTCTTGTCTCCCCTGGTCCAGTCCCTGCCCATGTATATCTGTGATTCCTCTGATGCTTTAGGCCAGTTTCAGAATTTCCAGTTTGCAGGCTCCAGCCGCCTCCTCTTTACCATGGATGTGCAATCCCTTTGCATGTCCATCCTCGCCAGGAGGATCTTAGGGCTCTCCACTTCTTCCTGGAGCAAAGGCCTGAACCGTCCCCACCCACCACCACCCTCCTGCGCTTGGCCGAGCTTATCCTCACCCTCCACAACTTCTATTTTAACTCCTCTCATTTTCTTCAGGTAAGAGGTGTGGCCATGGGTACCCGCATGGGCCCTAGTTATGCCTGTCTCTTCGTGGGGTATGTGGAACATTCCTTGTTCCAGCCCTATTCTGGACCCCACCCACAACTTTCTCCGATATATCGATGATATCATCGGTGCTGCTTCCCTCTCTCATCCGGAATTGGAAAAGTTCATCGATTTTGCTTCCAATTTCCACCCAGTCCTCACTTTCACCTGGTCTATCTCTGTCTCCTCTCTTCCCTTCCTCGATATCTCTTTTTCCAGTTCTGGAGATAGACTGGCCACTAATATCCACTATCAATCCACCAACTCCCACAGCTACCTGGACTGTACATCCTCGCACCCTGCTTTCTCTAAAGATTCCATTCCATTCCCTCAGTTCCTTTGTCTCCATCGCATATATTCCGATGAGGCCAACTTCAACAAGGGAGCTTCTGAAACGTTCACCTTCTTCCTCAACTGAGGATTCCCCAGCACCGTTGTCGACAGGGCCCTCAACAGGTCTGACCCGTTTCCCTCTACAGTATCAAAGGGCCCAAACATACCTTCCAGGTGAAGCAACACTTCACCAGCACTTCCCAGAATCTAGTCTACTGCATTCGCTGCTCACAATGTGGTCTCCTCTACATTGGGGAAATAAAGCATAGACTGGGTGACTGCTTCACAAAACATCTATGTTCTGACCGCAAAAAAGACCCTGAACTTTCAGTTGCCTGCCATTTTAACACACCACCCTGTTCCCTTGCCAAAATCTCTGTCTTTGGCTTACTGCAGTATTCCAGCAAAGCTCAACACAAGCTGGAAGAACAACACCTCATTTTCTGCTTGGGGACCCTGCAGCCCTCCGGACTCAGTATCGAGTTCAATCATTTTAGGGTCTGAATTCTCCCATGTCCTAGCCCCTTACCCCACACACCAGGCCTTGTTATCCCATAGTCTGCCATTACACATTACCTATTGTTAGCCACTAACAGTCTCCATTAACAGCTATTCACTCTCCTAGCCAGATCATTACCCATTCCTTTGTCTGCCCAACTGCTCTTCTTTCTCTTTGGGCTCTATCCCCAATCATTTATCATTTACTGCTTTCCCCCTAACTCATTCTATGTTCTGCATATAAACCAATAATTCCTAGCTACCATCAGTCACTGGACCTGAAATGTTAATTCTGATTTTTCTTCACAGATGCTGTCAGGCCTGCTGAGGTATTCCAGCAACTTCTGCTTTTGTTTCAAATAAACCTGTTGGACTATAACCTGGTGTCGTGTAACTTCTGACTTTGTCCACCCCAGTCCAACGCTGGCACCTCCACATCATGTCTGTGTAAAGAGTGGAGTGGTGCCTGTGTTTAAAGGGAGAACTGTGCACATTGCCTGTGTAAAGGGCAGACTGTGCAGATTGCCTGTGTAAAGGACGGGTCTGCATGTGTGTGTAAAGGAAGAACTGTGCACATTGCCTGTGTAAAGTGTGGGACTGCTCATGTGTGTTCAAGTGTCGACTGTGCATATTGCCTGTGTAAAGGGGTGGGACTGCGCATGTGTGTTAAAAGGGCAGGATGTCTAAATTACCTGTGTAAAGTGCAGGACAGCGCATGTGTGTTTAAAGGGTGGATTGTTCATGTTGCCTGTGTAGGGTGTGAGACTATGCATGTGTTTAAAGGATGCTGTGTGCATGTTACCTATGTAAAAGGTGGGACTGCGCATGTGTGTTTAAAGGGCGGGACTACTCACCTACCTGTGTAAAGTGCAGGACTGCGCATGTGTTTAAAGGGCAGACTGCGCACATTGCCTGTGTAAAAGGTGGGACTGCGCATCTTGCCGGTGAAATAGGCGGGGGCGCGCACGTCGCCTGCGTCAGAAGTCGGGAAGGTAGCCTACGTTTGACGGCGGGAATGCGCATGCCGTCAGCATGAGGTATGGGGGCGCGCACGTTGCCTTGTCACGTAACGTGCCGTAAGCGCGGGATTCACCGGTCGCCCTAGACACGCGCTGTGTGGTTGCTAAGGGAGCGCGAGCCCGGCCGCTTGCCGTCAGGAGGAGCAGAGCATCGACAAACTCATTCAGGGACCATTTACTTATTTACTGATTGATTGATGATGTGAGGAGAGGCGGGTGTAGGCATCCTCAGGGTCCCGGAGAGATCCCGATCCAAACGGCAGGCCCTGCGGCAGGCGAGGGGGAGGGGAAATGCCGTGAGGCGGCGCCGCTGAACATGATCCGCCTGCAGTCCCGGGAACACAGGCCTTTCCGAGAGGGCAAGGAGCCGGGAGAGAGACGGGGTGTAGGGGGAAACGTCAGCCCGAGCCCGGAGCTGCCGCCCGGGCAGCGTTTCCTTTAACCCGCCGGCCCGGCTCAGTGTCCCCGGTAAGAACACGGGCATTTGGGTGAGGGAGGAGGATACCAAGGGGTGGGTTATCGGAGGGAGTAAGGAAGACGGGAACTGTGGGGCCTGGGGAGGAGAGCTGGAGGAGTGGGTGGAGCAGTGGGGGTTGGGGGGAGGGGAGCTGGGGGTGTGGGCTGGAGCTGTGGGGTATGGGAGGGCAGGGGAGCTGGGGGTGTGGGCGGGAG